TTTGTCATCTTGGCATTGACATCTGTTGAACTTTTGTGCCCATGTGAGTTTAGAATTTCTTGGTTCTTTGTATGCCAAGTAATTTTGGATTGTATCCTGGACATGTTAAAATACAATCGACCCTTGAACAATATCTTGCACAGTTGAAAATCTGCATACAACTTTTGTCTCCCCTGAAACCGATAACTTACTGTTGACCAGAAGCCATACTGATAACATAAACAGTTAACGCACATTTTGTATGTTGCATGTTTTATACACCGTATTCTTACAGTAAAGTAAGCTAGAGAGAAAAAATGTTATTGAGAAAATCATAAGGAAGAGAAACATACATTTATCTTACTGTATTTATCAGAAAAAAAAATTCACATATAAGTGGATCTGTATAGTTCAAACCTATGTTGTTCAAGGGTCACCCATATTATGTTACAAGATTCTGGATCTTGTTTAAATTCTATGGAGAATGTTGATATTTTTGTTTTAGCAGTCAACCTGGTTGGTTTCACGCTGCAAGTTCCTTTTTTTTTTTTAAATTTTTTTAATGTTTTATTTATTTCTGAGAGAGAGAGAGAGAGAGAGAGTGTGTGTGTGTGTGTGTGTATGTGTGTGTGTGTGTGTGTGAGCAGGGGAAGGTCAGAGAGAGAGAGGGAGATACAGAATCTGAAACAAGCTCCAGGCTCTGAGCTAGCTGTCAGCACAGAGCCCAACTGACGCGGGGCTCAAACCCACAAACCGCAAGATCATGACCTGAGCCGAAGCCGGACGCTTAACCAACTGAGTCACCCAGGCGCCCCCAGGCTACAAGTTCTGATCAGTCTTCTCTGAGTTGTAATTTCAGTGTCCGAGCTATTCAGATGTGTTCTTTTGCAAACCAATGGCCATTCTGAGACCTGGAATCTAGTGCTGTCCCCTAGTTCAATTTGCAAAGTCTGGCACGTTCCTTAGGGTCAGACCCATGCATGTGCAACTTGAGAGTGAACCCACAAGTTCATAAACAACTTTAAGGGGTCACTGTTTTGAATTCTTCTGTCTCTGGGGTCTCCCTACGACTTTATGGTTCTCTGTGGCTACTGCTTTGGTCATTCAGCCTGAAAGCTGGGGCTTTGTTTACCCTGATCTTTGTACATTTACTGTGATTATGCCTGTACCTGAGGGTGGGTGGTGGAAGGACAGAGAGCAAAGATGCAATAGAGGTTTTTGCCCCTCCTTCTTGGGACCACAGCTCCTCTGATTGGAGAGAAAGGACCCCCATCCCCACCCTCAGAGTTTTAGGTTGCTCCAGAGTTTTAGGTTGCTCGCTGTAGAGGCAGAATTCTAAAGATATCCTCACAAGATTCTTGTCCCCTGGTTATTCAGACATTAATCTAGTTACTGCTGTGAAGGGACTTTACGGGTATAATTAAGGTTACTAAGCAGTCAACCTTAAAATAGGGAAATTATCTAGGTGAGCCTGATGTAATTTACGTGAGTCCTTAAAAGCAGTAGACATTGATAGAAAGAGAAAGATTCAAAGCGTGAGGGGTGTCACCTCTATTGTTGGCTTTGAAGATAGAGGGGCCCATGAGGTAGAGAATGTGAGTGGCTTCTAGAAGCTGTAAACACCCCCTACAGCCAGTTAGGAAACAAGCACCCTGGTCTTAAAACTACATGGAACTGCATTCTGCAAGAACCTGAACGAATCTGGAAGCAGAATCATCCCATATTCTCGAGACGAGCTTAGGTCACTGACTCCTTGATTTCAGCTTTGTGAGGCCTGGAACAGAGAAACTGCTGCAACCTGTTGGACTTCTGATCTATCAAGCTGTGAGATAATAAAATTGTGTTGATTTAAATTACAGTCGGATACTAGTGCACCTACAGAGTGCCTTGAGCTAGAATTGCAAGGAAATGGAGGGGAAAAACATGTGATTTCCCTTCCTGTCTGAATGGTTGGAGAAACCCATTTCTGTTTCTCATGCCAGAACTAGAGGACTTCTCCTGGAGCTCTGTGTCTGCATTCTGGGGGTGTCATTCTGTGTTTTGGCTGTATTGTATCCAAGCTGAGAGGTAGTGGAGGGAGAAAAAAAGGAAACTCACTGCTAGTTCTGCAACCCTCTTCCCAATCCACTTACTACTACAGTGGTCCCCTTGTGATGATTTGACTTAAAATTTTTTGACTTTATGATGGTGTGAGGGTGATATGCATTCGTTAGAAACTGTACTTGGAATTTTGAATTTTGATCTTTTCCAGGGCTAGTGATACGTTGCAGTGTGATCCTCGTTACAGTAGTCAATAAATTACATGAGATATTCTATATTTTGTTATAAAATAGGCTTTGTGTTAGATGACTTTGCCCAACTGTAGACTAATGTAAGCATTCTGAGCATGTTTAAGATAGGCTAGGCTAAGTTATGATGTTTAGTAAGTTAGGCATATTAAATGCATTTTCAGTTTACGTTATTTTCAACTTACGAGTTTATCAGGATCATAAATGGAGGAACATCTGCAGTTACTTTTTAAAATATTAATTAATTGATTAACTTAGAGAATGAGCAGGAGAGGGGCAGAGAGAGTGGGGGATGGATGATCCGAAGCAGGCCCTGTGCTGATAGCAGTGGGTCTGATGTGGGATTTGAACTCCCGAACTGAGAGATCATGACCTGAGTTGAAGTTGGAAGCTTAGCCAACTGAGTCACCCAGGTGCCTTTGTAGTTACTTTTTAGTGTCCTCAAATGGCTGCTGGATTCATTCTGTCCTGATTTTATAACTGTTCAGTGGCAGAGAGTGGAATATGCTTACATGATCTTACCCAGAACTAGAACTCTTTTTTTTTTTTTTTTTTAAATGTTTTTTTTTTTATTTATTTCTAGGAGAGAGAGAGACAGCGTGAGCAGGGGAGGGTCAGAGAGAGAGGGAGTCACAGACTGAAACAGGCTCCAGGCTCTGAGCTGGCAGTCAGCACAGAGCCCGACGCGGGGCTCGAACCCACGAACCGCGAGATCATGACCCGAGCGAAAGTCGGACGCTTAACCAACTACGCCACCCGGGCGCCCCCAGAACTAGAACTCTTAATGTGTGTTTTGAAAAAAATCCTTTCTTTTCCTTTAAAGGGAATATTTGTTCTTTGTGTGGAGAGTGGTAATCTCCAGTGATAATCTCTGCTAAAACTTTAATGTATATTCTTTCAGATTGTTTCCTAAGCATTTATAAGAATTCCTTTTTTTTTTTTTTTTTTTTTTAAACAAAGATGGGGTTATAATTTTGTAAAACTTGCTTCTCCCCCCCCCCCCCCTTTACGGTGTCTACGGTGTCATGGGCATTTTTCTGTGTTAGTAGATTTAGAGTAAAGACCTCACTTTTTCATTGTGAATGGCTTACTGGAATAATAGCAACTACCATTTCATTTAACCAGTAAGAGGGTGTATTAATTTGCCAGGGCTGCTTTAACAAAATGTCACAGTCTGGGTGGCTTAAACAGACCTCTATTTTCCCACAGCTCTGGAGACTAGAAGTTCAAGATCAAGATGCTGACAGGATTGGTTTCTTTTGAGCCCGGTCTTCTGGGCTGGTAGATAGCCATCTTCTCCTCATGTGTCTTCACATGGTGTATTAGTCCATTTGAGCTGCGAAAACAAAATGCCATAGGCTAGGTATTTAAAAACAGAAATTTATTTTTCTCACAGTTCTGGAGACTGGGAAGTCCAAGATCAAGGTGCTGGCCAATTCATTTCCTATTGAGGGCAGACAGCCTCCTTCCTGGCTTACATACAGATGATTGCCTTCACACTGTGTCCTCACTGGGTAGAGAGCGGAACACTCTGGTGTTTCTCCCGTTGTCTGATAAGAGTCCCAGCCCTATCAGAATAAGGCCCCCACCCTTGTGACATCATTTAACCATTATCACCTCCTCACAGACATCTCTAAATACAGTCACATTGGTAGTTGGGGCTTCAGTGTAGGAATTTGGGAGGGGTGAGGGGTGGGGACATATAGACGTTCAGTCCATAACAAATGGTCTTTCCTCTGTACCTGTCTGTGTCCTAATTCCCTCCTTTTATGAGGATACCAGCCCTATAGGATTAGGGCTCACTGTAATACCTCATTTTTTTTTTTTAATTTTTTTAATGTTTTATTTATTTCTAGGAGAGAGAGAGAGAGAGACAGCGTGAGCAGGGGAGGGTCAGAGAGAGAGGGAGTCACAGACTCTGAAACAGGCTCCAGGCTCTGAGCTGGCAGTCAGCACAGAGCCCGACGCGGGGCTCGAACCCACGAACCGCGAGATCATGACCCAAGCGAAAGTCGGACGCTTAACCGACTAAGCCACCCAGGCGCCCCTGTAATACCTCATTTTAATTTAGTGAGATACTGGGAACTAGGACCTCAACATGGGAATTTTGAGAAGATAAAGTTCAGCCCATAGTAGGAAGGTACTTTTATTTTCTCCACTTAAGATAAGGAAGCTGGGGCTCAAAGACTTTACTAATTTGGCCAAGATCACACAGCTAGTAAGAGAGAGAACCAGAATTCAAACCCACGTAGATTGGCCTCAGAGCCTGCTCTTTTAGTTATGTGGCTGTTTTCCCACCCTCAGCCCCTGTCTTGGCACAGCAGTTGTTGAGCCGTGCCATGATTATTTAATCCTATGGATTTTGGTTATGGGCATATGAGTTTTCTCTCTTTACCCATTGAGACAATGCTGTATTGAACATGTTTGTATAGTTAGCACTGTATACCTGAAAATATTGCTATATTCTCTAGAAATCATTGTATCCACAGAAATGATTAAATGTGTGTATTTTCCAAAATACCCTCTGAAAATGTACCATTGACTCTTCCAGCAGTAATCAGTCAGAGTGACAAGTTCTAGAAAGTAGTGGAAAAACGACTTCCTGTTGTAGGCTGCAGATGATTTGATTTGGGCACTTGCTGTGGATATCTGAGTGAAACGAAGGGTTCTCTTTCTTTTCGGTATAAAGGGGTATATCCTGGTCAATTCATGATTCGTTTTCTTTTTTTTCAGAATTTCGATTCTGACATTAGCAGTGTGGGAATAGACGGCTGCTGGCAGGCAGACAGTCAGAGGCTTCTCAATGAGGTGATGGTGGAGCACTTCTTTCGACAAGGAATGCTGGATGTAGCTGAGGAGCTCTGCCAGGTAACAGAGTGCCTGCTAAGAGTGTGCCAGTGGGGCGAGACACAAAACAGACGAGGGAGCTCCTTGGAATGTTGAGTTTTCTTTTAGCCATACATAGATTTTTAATATTTTAAGTGTCAGGGCTGACCTCATTTTACTAGGAATATATATATATATAAAATTATACCAGGAATATATATAAAATTAGCAAAAATTACAGCCCTAGAACTTTTTTTTTTAATGTTTTATTTATTTTTGACAGAGAGATAGAGACAGAGTGAGCAGGGGAGGGTCAGAGAGAGAGCAAGTTATAGAATCCGAAGACAGGCTCCAGGCTCTGAGCTAGCTGTCAGAACAGAGCCTGACGTGGAGCTCGAACCCACAAACCATGAGATCATGACCTGAGCCGAAGTCAGATGCTTAACCAACTGAGCCACCCGGGCGCCCCTAGAACTTTTTTTTTTTTTTTTTTTTTAAGATTTCTTTTTAGTGTTTATTTTTGAGAGTGAGTGAGCAGGGGGAGGGGCTGAGAGAGTCGGGGTACAGAGGATCCAAAGCCGGGCTCTGCACTGTCATTGTAGGACTCAATGTGGGACTCAGACTCACTAACTGTGAGATTGTGACCTGAGCTGAAGGCAGACACTTAACTGACTGAGCCACCCACGTGCCCCACAGTTCTAGAACTTCTTATTTGAGTTGTTTTTTCCTTACTCCTGCCTCCTCACAGTGGTCCCAGATAATCAACCAAGGGGTCAAAAGTGGTACTACTTTTCCATTTCCTCTTTTGATAGGGAAGGTGCTATAGCAGAGAAGAGGACAAAAAGGTTTATGTATGTTTTTCTGATCTGGCCCAACTTGTAGCATTTTGTTTATCAAATGAGTTTCAAGCTAAAATTTATTTCAGTGAGCAGCTTTGTCTTTTACTGCTAGTAGAAACGAGTTTAGGGATCTCAGAATGGTTTGTGCATACTACCTAGTTGTAGTAATGGCAGCTGCCATGTATTCAATGCCACAGGCCAACCCCTGCTTTTATTCCTTACTGCAATCCTGTGAGGTAGAAATTGCTTCCATTCTACAGATAAGGAACCTGAGGTCTGGAGAAGTAGCTTGCCCAGGCCATACAGGTGGTTCTTCTTCTTCTTCTTTTTTTTTTTTAATGTTTTATTTTATTTCTAGGAGAGAGAGAGAGAGACACCGCGTGAGCAGGGGAGGGTCAGAGAGAGAGGGAATCACAGACTCTGAAACAGGCTCCAGGCTCTGAGCTGGCTGTCAGCACAGAGCCCAACACGGGGCTCGAACCCACGAACCGCGAGATCATGACCTGAGCCGAAGTTGGACGCTTAACTGACTGAGCCCCCCAGGCACCCCCAGGCACTCCTTCTATTTTAAATAATTCTGAGGGGCACCTGGATGGCTTAGTCGGTTAAGCATCTGACTTTGGCTTAGGTCATGATCTCGCGGTTCGTGGGTTCGAGCCCCGCGTTGGGCTCTGTGCTGACTGCCAGCTCAGAGCCTGGAGCCTGTTTCAGTCTGTGACTCCCTCTCTCTCTGACCCTCCCCTACTCATGCTGTCGCTGTCTCTCTCTCTCTCCTAGAAATAAATAAAACATTAAAAAAAATAATAATTCTGAAAGCTGATAACTGAAGTCTTCCTCTATACTTTATGGGAATTTTGTGTATGTCCATGTAAGTTTCCTAAAGTGAATTGTGTCTTTTAGCATTAAGCTTATTTGTAAGTAACAAAGACCCAAAATACCAGTGGCTTAAAAATAATGAATTGTATTTTCTTCCACAAAAATAGGAGGTAGTAAGCCATCCACAGCATATTTGGTAGCTATGCTCCATGCGGCTTTTAGGGACCTAGATTCTGTGTAGCTCTGCTATTACTAAGATGTCCCCTGTCCTTATGGTCCAGGATAGCAGTCAGAACTCTAGGTACCCCTTTCAGTATTCCAGGAAGGGGCAAAGAGTACATGTTTGTATTTCACTGGCCAGAACTCCCGTCTTGCAAGTCATACTTCGCTTTATTCCATACACTTACGTACTTGGCTAAAATCTGGAGGCTCCGCTACTATGGAAAAGAAGAAGGAATGTTAGTAGGACTCTGTCATCAGTCTGTACCATAGAGATACATGTTAAAAAATTATTTTTTAATGACTTGCCTCATATTTTATAATTTAGAATATGCTTTTCATGTATTTCTTTATCTAATTACTGCTAACAAAATTCTTTCTGTTTTTTCAGGAATCTGGTCTTTCTGTAGATCCAAGTCAGAAAGAACCGTTTGTGGAGTTAAATAGAATTTTAGAAGCATTAAAAGTCAGAGTTCTGAGACCTGCTCTGGAGTGAGTTCCTACGTTTGTTTTCTTTTGAATACTTGGGTAGAACTCTCTGTAAGAAAACTTCATTAGAAAGCACATTTGAGATTTTGGCGTATATCTGTACCTCTATATATCTCACCTGCAGTAGACTTCAGAGAAAGCAAGGAAGAATTAATTTCTTTCTTTTAGCAAAGTGAGAATGGGGGATGGACAAATATGAGAAAATGGTGAGAGCTTTCTTATCAGTTGATCTGAATTCCCAAAAGAGAAAAGGGGTTTCCTATATCCAGGCTATTCTACTACTTTAGACTAGCATTATAACTGAAGTACTATTGTTCAAGTGGTCTGAGTTTGATATTTGAACTTCCATAATGTGCTGGCATTCTAAAAAAAAAAAAAAACTTAATTGGCTCTTGGAACTAGGTGATATGCATGAGGACTGCACATATTGTTATGAAGTAGTTCTGTGCTAATTACTACGTTATAAAATGTAATGATTCACCGTCAACTTGTCATTGGTATGAATTATCTTTAATTACTGAGTAAGCTATGATACCCTAGAGCAGGATCAAGGAAGTTTTTTTTTGTCAAGGGCCAGATAGTAAATATTTTAGTTTTTGCAAGCCACATAAGGTCTCTGTCACATATTCTTTTACTTATTTTACAACCATTTAAAAATGTAAAAAAACCAAAAAAACCAAAAAAACCCATACACACAAAAAAACCCCATCTTGACCATCTGGTATACAAAATGGGCAACAAGCCATATTTGAACCTTGGCCATAATTTGCTGACCCCTGTCCTAGAATTTTTTAATATGAGGATTACCAGATGGTTTGAAAAAAGAAAAAAGAAGGAAAGAAAGAAAGAGAAAAGAAAAGCTCATAAAAGGAAAAAACTGGATGATAGAAACAGTGATTCTGTTGTGAGGTTCTAGGCATAGAATTCTGGTATTTTAAAATTGGAAGTATTTGAGATCATTGTTTTCAGGGAAAAAAATAGGAAGAGTCTTACTGAGTTGTTTTTTTTTTTTTTAGATGCACAGTTTTTCTTCTACTAACCCATTTACTTCTGCATATTTAGTTTTCTGTTTCTGATCATTTATCAGTTCTTAAAAGATTTCCAAAGTTTTGAAAACCAGCTCAGATGAACATGTAGAGATGTACTCCTGTGTAAATATATAAATGATAAATTCCTATATAAATTATAAATATGAGTTAGGTAGGTACTATCTTTAAAGATAGACATCAAATAGTACCATTGTGATGGCATACATTACCTTTATAGTTTTTTTGGTTTTTGTTTTTTTAGTAGATGTTAGATTTTGACACACCTGGGAGGTTAAATTCTTTTCAAGTACCACTCATAAGTCTTAAACACAGTGTGGCAGCCCCTCTTCTTTCTTCTTTCATGTTTCACCTATATGGTTAAACATTTACAGAGAAGAGTGAGGGAGCCTAAATACAGAAATGTATGGGTTTTCCAGTTGTTTCATAGTGATTTGGAAATAATATTTGAGTTAGTCAATGTAATAGTCATTTATCCATTATTTCCTCAGGATTTTTTTCATCTAACTTCTGTTGAGTGCTTTCCATGTGCCAGAGACTGTGCTGAGTATTTAAACCACCTCAGCTCTCAGAGTACTGAAGGCTTTTCCCTTTTTGAGTGAAGAAAATTTATAACAGCCTTTTACCTTTGTGCTTTTTCTGTAAGATCTAAGTTTCCTACTGATAACTATAGCATATGTATCAATTATTTCTATCAATGTTTTCAGTTATTGGTAGCCTCAAACAGTGTCTCTCAGGCAAAGGGAGGGCTTGCTCATTCTACCCACTTGGTCATAATAGTGGACTTTACCACACAGTAAAAATTGTGTTACTTCACTTTTCTGGGAATGTTGCCGTATTAAATATTGTCAGCATAGAGGCAATTATAGTTAACTCTTCTTGAGTGCTTATTATATACCGAGTGTTTTTCTAAGCACTTTACATGTATTAACTTACTAAATTCTCATCATAACTGTATGAGATACTCATTTTATAGAGGAGGAATTGAGGCCTGGAAGGTGCTTTGTGGAAGAAAGGGATAAGGAATCAAAAGGTCACATGATGTCCCGTTTATATTCTTCTCCACGAGACTTACATTAGCACATTACAGGGGCCTTCAGCAGTCCTAAAAAACATTTAATGTTGCCCAACTCCATATTCCCCATGCGTATCTGACCACAGAATCCTTGTCTCCAATCCCCCGTCCCCAAACACTAAAATGTACAAAATTAGAGCTCTATAGAACAGAAGCTTTGAAAATGATAGCTTAATAGAAACGTCTGTTACAACAACTCCGACTTTTCCAATCATTGCCTATTACTGGTGCCTACAAAACCTATATTTCCTCAGCATCTTTAATATCCAAGGTACAGAGAATTCACCTTATTCAGCTTATAGCAGAAGTTGACAAATATGGTTTATCATGTTTGAAGAATTCTGGTTCAGGTCCAAGGCAGAGTATCTTTCAGTCATTGTGGCACCTTCTGTTTGTACGTGCTGGGAGAGGCTGGGGGAGGATGGTGGGAGAGGCAGCAGCATGGGACCACCCACGAGGGGCTGCAGAGCTTTCTCTAGGCTGCTTAGACAGTGGGGGAGGCAGAAGCCAACCAAACAGGTTAGTATGGCTGGAGGCTGGGGAAAGAACTTTGGAGAGCATTAGCTATCCGATTACAAATGATATGAGACCATGGAAAAAAGGAAGAAAAGAATGGTGATACGGCAGAGAGGAGTGGCAGAAGAAGAGCTAACTATATACACAGATCTAGTCAGGACACTGCCTACTCTCTTGTTCCTGCCCCCTAGTGTTTCTGAGTTTGTGTGCAGATTTTTCTTCTCCTCTAGATTGCCTTGTCTATTTTTTAATTTCGTCTTGGCACTTGGCATGGTGCTTACTTCGTAGCTTATGGCATACTTCAGTAAGTGATGGAATAGTTTGAAGGAGGTGCTTCATGGGGGAGATAGAGGTCAAGCCACAAGTAACTCAGCAAGAGTTGACACAAAGAGATGGGGAAATATTAGAGAAATAGAAACTGTCCTTGTAGGTATGAGCCAGTTCCTGACATTTTGAAAGTGCTATCTTTGGGGGGAAGCCAGTTAGTTGCCTTCCTAAAGTTGTTTCAAAGAATAATCCTGCCTTCATAGATTTGCCACAGGCTAGGGTCTGACTTACAGCTTTGCAGACTTGGAAACCTGGTTTTTCAACACTGAGAAGTAGGCCCAGGGACCCCCAGCACTTGTTTAGAAGAATTTGCAGTTTAGTAGAGTTTGCAAAGCCACAATAGAATACTGTGAGGGAACAGAAAATAACTGAATGGCTATGGGAAAGAGAGGGAATTTAAAAGAATTTTTCAGAGAAGTGAGAAAAATATGCTGTTGGTTTAGACCACAGAAGAATTTTAGATGGACGGGCCACGAACAGTATGAGGCAGACTGTTGAAAAATGAGAGGACTTCATCTCCAAGCCTCGTGATTAGGTGGGGCTAGAAATAAAAACCACAGAGGGGCTGAGATGAGCTTAACCATTGTAGTTTCTTTGTGGTATGAACGGTGGATCTAAGAAGAAGAAAGTGTTTGCCAGACTTAAGAGAAACTGTAGTATCTGTCAATAAAACACAGTTTATAAGCGGGGCAGGGTTTTAGAAAATGACCTGATCACAGAGCCTTGACTGGCAATGAGGGCAACAATGATTAAGCAGTTTCTTGTGTTTGTTTTCTTGTTTTTAGTTTTGGCTTCCTGTAGGTGGGCAGTCTTGCTGACTCAGGCATTTTTTTAATAGCCACACAGAACCACAGAAAAAAGAAAGCTCTGATAGATATACCATTGGAGAAAAGGAATCAAAGTTGGATTCTTTTTCCTCCAGAGCTTGAGTTTTTGTTTTTATTTTTGTTCTTTTCATTTTGTTTTGTTTATTCAGGATGGTTCTTAATTCTGAAAAGGCGAGTTAAAGGGATACATTTTTAACTCACTGTGCTCATGCACTAAGTCTGGTGGAGAAGGAGCTAGCTTCTCTATTTTAAAAAAAACCAATTGAGGGATGCTTAGGTGGCTCAGTTGGTTGAATGTCTGACTTTGGCTCAGGTCATGATCTCACGGTTTGTGGGTTTATTTACTAGCAATAAATAAGATGCATGTCATATTTAAGAGTTTTATAAAAAAAAAAAAAAATTAGTTCACTAATCGGTAGAGCTATGTTATCCAGCATGGCAGCCACTTGCCTCACATAGCTGTTTGGGACTCTTACCAGGCACTGTATTATGGAAAGACTCAAGTTAGAAGTGTGCCTGTTTTTGTTTTTGTTTTAAGTAAATCCAAATGTGTAACACTATAGTTTGAATTGTGTTTTAAATAGCATGTAAAAAGGTGAAAGATTCACACCAGTCTGAGGTGAGTAAAATGTTAGTAGTTCCAGTGATGGACTCAATCCATATCTGAGAAACTGCCATTTACAAATATCTCGGAAAAGAAATGTTAAGTTATTCTCTAAAGCAAGTTATAGGATTCTTAAATTTTTTGGCTGAACTTTGCTTTTGTCATTTTTGCTGTTCTCTGAATTTCGTAAGCACTTGATTTGGTCATCAGTAACGTTGAGTCAAGTCCACACCTGTGGAATAAATAAATGTAATTAATTTCCCTAAACTTCAGCTTTTTTTTTTTAAGGTTTTGTTTAATTTTTTTAAATGTTTTATTTATTTCTGAGAGAGAGAGAGAGACAGTGTGAGCAGGGAAGGGTCAGAGAGAGAGGGAGATACAGAATCTGAAACAGGCTCCAGGCTCTGAGCTAGCTCAGCACAGAGCCTGACGCGGGACTCAAACCCACGAACTGTGAGATCATGACCTGAGCTGAAGTCGTATGCTTAACTGACTGAGCCACCCAGGAGCCCCAAATTCCCTAAACTCCAGCTTTTGCCCTCTAACCCGCCAAGAATATAGCCCTAAAGGAGACCAGAAAAAGAATATTTGTAAGCCCTTAAAAAATG